CTGCTCTCAGACACCATAGGCCAGTGTTCTTCTGTGTCCCCCAATTCTCCTCCAAAATCCCGTTTCTGTTTGTTCCTTTGCCTTTCACCCTCAGTGCCTTTGGTGACTCTGAAGCCCACAGTCACCCCCAGTGGCATGGAACCCTGTAAAGAGCAGATTTTACAGAGCTCTGTGAGGAAAATGTCCCCATCAGTCTTTTGTGGAGTTAAACAGCCACCGTGTCCTCAGTTGGGTGTTCCTCAAACACAGCTGGACCAGCCGCGGGGTTCTCTGTAGCGCAGGCAAAAGTCCCAGTGTAGGAACAGTCTGGCTGTGGTTCTGTAACTGGATCCATCGTGGCCAGTTGCGGCTTTAGAACAAGACAAATCCTGCCTGGTTTAATTTCCAGCCCACTCTGCTCCGTCCTGTGCGGGTGTTTTTACAGCAAACACGCTGTTTCACGTTGCTGCTTGTGGCATGCTGGTATGGAAGGGTCTTTCCGCGCTGCCAGCCGCGGTGTTTGTCGCTCCGCGACACCGAGTCACGACAACACTATCTTGATATCTCAGCTGACACGACGGAGTTTTGCTTATGAACTCCGCAGGTGTGGGGCGGAATGCTGGTGTTGAAAATGAATTCAGCTCGTTTCACATTCCCAGTGTGGAGGGGGCTGGTGGAGGAGTGCAAGGATCTCTTGATTTGGTTGGTGTTTTTTATGTAGGTTTGACAGATCCTTCAAGATTTGGAACATTTAAATTGTTTATTAACATGCTGTAGGACATTTTTTTTTTCTTCTGCACGATTGATAATTGCTGAAAGGATGCTGTTAGGTATTTAACACTCTTGTCTCTATCCAAGTGCCGGGATGGGATTTTAGAGCACCTTAAAAATGAACTAATCTGGAGAAAAATTATTATAGTCTGCCTGTGCGTGACGGGTGTGACTTTGGGAATTTTGTCAGCGAGATCACAACGCCCTCTCAGAGCGGAGGGGTTCACCAGAGCACCGGTAACAATATCCGTGACTGCTGGATCTGTGCGTGGATTTTAAAAAAGCTCCTTGTGACTGAAGAGATATTAGAGCCTTCACCATAATAGGTGAAAAACATTTCAGCTCTTTTTTAAAAATATGCAGTTTAATAATAGGGGAGGTAGAAGGCGGCTCAGCGCGGGTTTCTTGTGGCCTGGGAGATGTCTGAATCAACCAGCAAACTTTCGACTTGAATTCTTTTTCTCTGCAGAGCCAGGAAGGTGATTCCTTCTTTTTTTGTGGGGTTATATTCCTCCTTCAGAAACATTCAGGCTTTTTGCTGGCAGCCAGATAACTTTTTTGCTGTACTGCAGTTTAACTTCTCCACATCTAAAGCTGACGTAGCCCTCAAGCTCGCGGCCGACTCCCAGCACGTCTTCCCTTGGCACCTCTTGTCCTGACCTCGTGTGTCCTCCCTGTTTGCAGCTGAAGGAGCACCCGGAGAAGGGGGTGTACGTGAAGGGGCTGTCTCTGCACACCGTGCACAGCGTGGGCCAGTGCGAGCAGATCATGGAGACGGGCTGGAGACACCGAGCAGTGGGTTACACCCTCATGAATAAGGACTCTTCCCGCTCCCACTCCATCTTTACTGTCAATATGGAAATCTCCACCGTAGGTAGGTAGCTGGATGTCCTGTGTTAGGCCTGAATCCGTGCGGTCTGACCAAAACTGAGATCCCAAATGATTTTTTAGGTCCAGTAGAAATCAGGATTGTGCCCTGGCACGGACATTCTTCACAGTGTGAAATGGCTGAGTATTCAAAGTTAGTTTTTTTTTATTTTTTCTCCTTGATTCCCCCTTGGGAGGGAAACTTCTTGCACTCAAACTGGGAACGTATTTAATTCTCCTTCCATTTCTTTATCTTCTTAAACATTTATCTCCAGCAAAGGGTGCTAAATCTCACAGCACCATGCTTGGAGTTCACGCATTGTCCAGCCTGGAGAAAGTTCTATCATTATCCGTCTCGCCTGACCTCCTTCCCAATCATTGCAGGATTCACCTGACGACTCCTTCGCTGAGCTTAACCACGCAGCACGTCTTCTAAGCAAACAGCTGATCTGGCTTTAAAGATGGAATAAAAAAAATCCTTTAATGATGTTTTAGTGACTAATTTTCCTGAGTATCTCATTTCAATTGGCGTTTCTTTAGCTGGTAAAGCTGCCTCGCTGGGTTTGAACGCAGACCTTGAACGGGTTTTTTCTGGGAATAAGAAAGGAATTAGTGTCCTGTGTTCTGCCTAGTCCTTGACCCCGGCTGAGGCTGTGAACAGCTCGGCTTCCTCCTCATCAGCTGTTTCAGTCTTGGGAAAACTTACACAACGTCTTCCTAAACTATGGTTCCAGATGTTGGTGTCAGTACCTCACTATCCCAAACGGTGTGTATGGGATTTGGGGAATTTCTCAGTTAGCACAGCTGGTGGATGCTAATCCTTGCGATTTGTGGGTCTGTAAAATCCCAATTTTAATCCCAACAGGGGAAAAGCAGTATTTACTCTCCCTTTTTGTGCTCCATATGGGTGCAGGGCTCTTAATCTAGTCTGCAACCATGGCTCTGATTTAAAGCTTTGAAAACTTGTTACTCGGAACAGCATGGCAGGTGGGGAAACTTGCAGTTAAACGGAAGACAGCTGGAAGATTTGAGGAGAAAGTTGAGGGTTCTGGTGCAATCTGCATAACTGGATGGTTCTAGTAGAGTAATCATTAGTTGGAAAAGTTAATGAGGTTGGTATTTATGTTGTCATCCTTAGGCTTTATGGAGGGGTGCATGGGGAAGCTCAAACTTATTTTCCATTTGAGCCTGTAGTGAATTACAATTTACAGGCAGTTGATACTTTAAAGGATCTCTTTGCAATTGTGCGGACTAAAATGACTCTTTAAAGTACCAGTTGAAATTCAGGAGCGGGATTATGGCAAACACCAGGCTCTCTGGCCCTAGATGTACGAATTGCACAAGTTACCATCGGTATTTTTACTGTATTTAGAGCAGCAGATGTTTTATTCCTTTGCATCGTGCTTAGGGATTGATTTGTGAATGAGAAGGATGTCGTAGATTCGGCCGGCGCTGGCCGATGGGCTGTAAGAGGAATTGGTCGGGCAGGACTTTTGGGCTGCTGCAGGCGTTTTAGCAAGAGCCTGGGGACCGTGTTACACCATGGAAACAAAACCACGGAGCTTGGAGATGGGAACAAACAGCCTCCCTGGATGAAAGGACTGGCAGGAACCAAAACAACTTTCTAATTGCCTGTCAGTGTTTACACAAACTGAGGGAAGGAGGGAAAGGGTTAGAAAACCTACTTTTTGTCACTCACCCCAGCTCTCAGAAAGGGCAGTGAGAGGGCGCTTTGTTTAAGCTCCATCTGTTTTTTGGTTGTGGTTTTTTTTCCCAATTCTCCCATGTCTTGACATGCCAGAAAGATCTGGAGTGAAACGAGTTTGCTCGGTGGCAAACGTGAAGTTCCACAGTTAACAATTTATTCCTGGAACTGGGCAAATACCCTGGGGCCATAGATCACAGATTTTTTTGGTGTTTACTTGTGAACTTTTAACTCTCTCCCATGCATCAGATTATTCATTGGTCGTGTCTAGGTACGGTCCACAGCCATAAATCTCAGCTCTCACTAAATTCCAGGCTAGGTTTTGTAGAAGGCTGTCTGGAAAAGGGCGGACTCGGTTAAAACCTTGATGTTCTTTTTGCTTGGACTGCTAAAGGAGCTCTTCCCATGAACTTGGGTTGTAATCATGGGGGATGATTGGGATGTGGACACCCAAGAGTGTGGTCCAGCGCTTAGGACAGTAGTCTGTGATTTGGGAATGTGTGTCTTTCTCACTGAGAATGTCATGAGTTGAGGAGGAACAGATGCCGCCGAGCGTGCCTGTGTGCTGACTCACGGCGCAGTTTTACAGCTTTCTGGGCGAGAGGGGGGATCTGCTGGGCTTCCTAATGTTCCAACCGGCTCGGGATAGAAAACCAGACAGTGAGCCGTGATGGTACCTGACAGGATGTGCTTTTTCTTTTGAAGCACAGCAAGAAACTTCTTGAATTACGTCCATTGATTAGGGTAGGTTGGATTCCAGGCTCGAGAAAAGCTGTAGTTTGGGGGTTCATGGAAAACCTCTTTCCCAACATAGCGTACACAGTAACCTTCCTGCCTGTCCCTCCACATCACGGAGGCGCTGAGGGAGCCTGCTCTTTCGCCTGTGCTCTCCAGCTAGCCCTGGCTCCACTTGCTGCTCGTTGACTCCTCAGTACATGCTTCTTCCCTTCTTTCTCTCCAATTGTCAGACGTTGTTTAACTTCACGGAGCCGTCTGAGGAGGAAAAAAGTTGGATAAACTCACGGTGTGACCTTGTTATTTGCAAAGGGCTTTGTGTGAAATTCTAAATGCTGTGGAAATATGCAGGGAGGGTGTGTGTGTGTGTGTTCAGAGCTCACTGGGAGACTAAGAATGACATGAAGTTTTTACTGTGCAGGATCTCATTCAGGAAAGCACTGAAATGTGTTTTAATCTAAGATTAAGTAGATATTTATTTACTTAAGAGAGTCAGGGCCCACATGCAGACAAAGAACAGGGCTTGAACAGGAGCGTAAAGCCAAGAGATCTGGTTTTTGACTGCTAAGATGCTTCCTCTTAAGAAAAGCCTAACCCAGAATTATTTTTTCGCAGACGAGCAAGGGCAGGACCACCTGAGGGCCGCCAAACTCAATTTGGTGGATCTGGCAGGAAGCGAGAGACAGTCAAAAACTGGAGCCACGGGGGAGCGTCTCAAAGAGGCCACCAAGATCAACCTCTCCCTCTCGGCTCTGGGCAACGTCATCTCGGCCCTGGTCGACAGCAGGTGCAAGCACGTCCCCTACCGAGACTCGAAGCTGACCAGGCTGCTGCAGGACTCCCTCGGAGGGAACACTAAGACGCTGATGGTAGCGTGTGTATCTCCGGCTGACAACAACTACGACGAAAGCCTCAGTACTTTGCGCTACGCTAATCGGGCGAAAAGCATCAAGAACAAGCCCTGTATCAACGAGGACCCCAAGGATGCTCTGCTGAGGGAGTACCAGGAGGAGATTAAGAAGCTGAAGGCCATTCTAGCTGAGCAGATGAGTGTGAATAACTTGTCAGGTAGGACAGCCCTTCGTGGTTCCGGAGATGTTTTATCTTTGACAGAAAAAAAAGAGGTTTTTACATGTAAAATGCTCACTGGATTTAACCTCACCCTGTCCCTTAGCTGTTGGAGGAAGAGTTCTCCATTCTGGTAATGGACTTTTCCTTCACTGTTGCCAAATTTACAGAATGGTTTGGGTTGGAAAGGACCTTCAAGACCATTCGGTTCCAACCCCCCTGCCATGGGTAGGGACACCTTCCACTACACCAGGTTGCTCAAAGCCTCATCCAACCTGGCCTTGGACGCTTCCAGGGATGGGGCAGCCACAGCTTCTCTGGGCAACATGTGCCAGTGCCTCAGCACCCTCAAAGGGAAGAATTTCTTCCTTAGATCCCATTGAAATCTCCCCTCTTTCAGTTTAAAGCCATTGCCCCGTGTCCTGTCACTCCGCGTCCTTGTCCAACGCCCCTCTCCAATTGAGCTTATTCCACTGGTAAAGACCATCTCGGTTATCCGGTATTTTCAATAACGACAAATTCTGTTAGAAAATGCTGATGTGATTAAAATCCTCAGCTCTTCTTGGTCATTCCGGCTAGAATTTGGTCAGTCACAGAAGAGAGGTTTCAGCTGGCAGAGCAAAAATGAGCTGCAAAAGAAAGAATAATGTGAAATTCTTTATTAAATATCTACATATGTTTCCAAAATGTAGCATCAGCCCCCATTCTCCAACACTGCAAATTTCGGACCCTGCAATAAAAGTTCTGCTCTGCTGACGGCGTTGCTTGCGGAGAGCACGCTGTCCTCTCTCTGAGGGTTCAGCCCAGCCTCAGCACACTCGCTCTTTGCTACGACACAGGAATAGCAAATGTGGGAAGAAATGGGTAAGAGCAGTCTCTAGAGACGGATCACCTTTTGAGAATTATCCCCTAAAACCCAGCAACTTTCAGCAGAGGAATAAAGCTGTGAGATTATTTTTTTTTCCCCATTTCTGCCACCTTTCAGAAACAGCTGTGAAGAAAAAAAGGCAACTTCCTTGCACCTTTCATCTCTTTCCCAGTGTCTTTTATCTTTCAAATCTGTTAGCATAGGCCTGGGAACAAGTCTCCTGTTATTCTGTGAAAGAAATTCCATTTATATTCGCTTTCAAATACCTGAAGCTTAAAGCTCTCCCTCTCCCCTCAGCGCCGACTCCTTCTCTCCCCACACCTATGGGGTCCCAGGCCAGTGGGTGTTTTGGCAGCGCAGGTGCTGGCACACGAGCACGGTTTAGAGCAGCGCAGGGATTGCCATGTTCTTTGCTGGCAGCCAGGTTCTTCGTTCTGTTTCCAGGCATTCTCCAGACAATCCCACCCAGGAATTGTGAGTGATTTTTTTTTTCTGCTTTGCTTTATAGGGCTTCGACCTGCTGAGACTGCTCACCTAGCAGCGAAGCCAGCTCCCCTCCTCCAACCCCAGGTAGATCTCGAAGCGGAGAAGCAGCTGATCAGAGAAGTAAGTCAGGAGTGGGCATTCCGTAGTGTCTTTTGATGAGGGCTTGTGGGTTTTCCTAATAATCCTTACAAATATGGTGCAGGGTTGTGTGGTTCAGCCTTTTCAGTACGCATCTCTTCCTATTTTTTGATCCTTGAGCTTCTCCTATGGACAGAATGCGTGTTGATGGAGGCCTTATTTACAAAGCCACTTTCTCTCAGCAATGTTCCCACCACTCTGGAGGTGAATTGGAATGGATTCCCGGGAAGAATTTTTGAAATACATATAACAAGAAGCAGAAACTACATGTGAAACTTTCTCCCTCCTGTCAGAGGAGGGAGAAATAGCGGGGAGGAAAGCAGCAGTCAGATGTTAGGAACAGTATAGGGATGAAGATAAAGAGGGGATATGAAACCAGGAGGAAGAATCAGGAGTTGGCAGTGAGGACAAAGAGAGAGGGGCCAGAGGAAATAAAACTCTCTCCTTGCCCTTTACCAAGCTCCTTCCAGGGCACCACATCTGCCCAAGATAGTGGTTTCTAGGGCTAACTAGTCACTTTCCATCAGTACTGTGTTGGCTTAAATCATGGAAAAAGTCTGTGACTACAGGAATGGCAAAATTTTATAGGGGTGGACAGAAAATGTGACCTAGAATGGACTTAGATGTGACCTTGTGTAGAGCTCGTCAGGCTGTCTGTCTGCTGTGCCTTTCAGGAGTATGCAGAGAGGCTGGCCCAGCTGAAGGCCAGCTATGAAGCGGAGCAGGCGTCCCGGGCCCGCCTCGAAGAGGACATCAGGAGCCTGAGGAATCACTACGATCTCAAGCTGTCTGCTCTCGAGGAGAACCTCAGGAAGGAAGCAGGTGTGGACAAGGCAGGTGGCGGCTGCGCGGCGCAGGCTGAGGGTTCCCTGATGCTTTAGGCACGAGCAGACGCAGACTGTTTTTGCAAAGTCAGATGCGTGGCAGCCGCTGCGACCTTCAAAGTGGCAGAGACTGCCACTGCAGCAAGTGCTGCCTGGCAGCAACAGCAGTCCCTGCTCTCAACCCTCCCCTGTCGACAGCAGGAGTGGTAACTCTGGCTCTCCCAGGCCACTCTCTGTCACAGCCTTGTCCTCTTCCCTGTTCCCCTGACTTCTTTTCCCTGCCAGGACCAGCCTGGCCCTACCCTGTAAGCCTTGAGGCGATGGAATGCGATTTTGGCCCACGTAGCTGTGAGTTTCTTCTGACTTAGTGCAGATTTTCTCTCGAGCAGAGGTCTGAGCTGCAGAAGCGACTGGTCTCGGCAGGCGCTGCTCTGCCTTAGAATCATAGAATCATGGAATGGTTTGGGTTGGAAGGGACCTCAAAGATCATCCAGTTCCAACCCCCCTGCCATGGGCAGGGACACCTTCCACTACACCAGGTTGCCCAAAGCCTCATCCAACCTGGCCTTGAACACTGCCAGGGATGGGGCACCTACAATGGGCCTTGATCCGATGGGCTTTGCACAACTCGCACGCCCGAGCCGAGGGCGGCTGCCGCAGTCTCTTCCGTCGCATGCAGGTGTGAGGCAGCCTTTGGTCTCCCGGTGGATTATCGACACCATCGCTTTGCTGGAGGGTGGACCTTCCTCTCACATTCCTATGAATTGTTGCCAGCTCTCTTCTTGTTACTCCTTTTCATTCACACTTTCGCAGCGCCTCAGAGCATGTTTTGCAACGTGCTTATGCAGCACTTACTGCTCGGTTTTCATTCCTGAATCTATATTCTTCAGTTTTGATGCTATCACTTGCTCAGGTGAGAGGTTTTTTCCCCCTCTGATTACAAATGTGCACCCCTGGCCTCTGAAATAGATTATTTGTGTGCCAACACGAGGAGCCAGCTTCTTCTAACCCTGGGAAATCTGCGTTCCCTACCTGATATGCCCTCTTTGATGGCTTTTACTGACCAGCATAAATAACAGACCTTTTCCTTCCAAACACACAGTTTTTAGCTTTCGGTGGAGGCTTTGTGTGATGTTTTCACAGATTTACGCTCTGGTTTGGCAGAGCCTGTTAATTACATGGTGGGTGTTTCCTCTTCTACTCTTCAGCTGCCGCGAGGACTGAAACTGCTCCTGACGAGACACCTTTGCCTGAAGACCCTGTTGCTGCAGCAGAGGAAGAACCGACATCAGCCCAGGTACCCTCCAGGCTGCTTTACCCCCCTGGGCTGAATAAACCCAAGTGCGTAGCGTCGTGCTTCATCTATCCCGATCCTGGCATTCCGTCTTTTCAGAGCTGCGGCCTTTGGTTTCCTCTTGTCCTCAGGACCCAGCAAAACCTTGGACTGTCCAGGACGCCAGCGATGCGAGCGCTGGAGCGGAGGTGGCTGTCACTGCCGAGGGGATTTCATTGCCTGCAGACCAGCAGCAGGTGCTCGCCAGGTCAGTGACTACGCTGCTCCTGCTAACTGCCTCCTGCGCGTTGCTTCTGACACACACGAGCAAGGAGCAGCCCTCTTCTTCCGTGATATCACAACTGTCGAGCTTCAGCCATCACTCCAGCGCAGTGCAAAAGCAGGAAGACGTGTATTCTGTACTCCAAAATGAACTTTTTCCTATTTGGGCAGAGAAATAGCTGTTAGCTGAGGCGTTTGATGACGCCAAGCACCAGAATTATGAGAGAAAAGTCGGGAGAGGTCTCCGTCAGCAGATGTGGATGCAAGGAAAGTGTGCTTTCCTGATAACAAATCCTGCCCAGATCTGTAGGCAGGGAAGTCTCTTCCTGCTCAGGTTTTTTGCAGGTGTAATTTATGAAGAGTTTATCAAATTGAGTCTGGCACTCGCTGACGGAGCTTAAGTGCCCAAACAGGATATGGAGGCAGCCTTTTTCCTCTTAAAAATGGTTTTTGAAGGGCCTTCCTGCTGCTCGCTGTGCGTGTGGGTGGAGGGGAGTGTGTCCCCCACGACTCTCTCTTGTCGCTGAGGTCACTTTTGATGACCCCCACGCATCTGACAATGTTTGCAAGACGTCAGCCAGAACTGACATCAAAATTTCCCAATAATCACGTTTTAAGAGGAGCATTAGACCCAGGGCCTGCAGCGCAGGGCTGGGATGCGAGAGCTGCCTGGGCTGTTTCAGAAAAACACACTTTAACCAAATCCTGCTGATTTCTCTCTTTTACTCCATTATGTTCAAATCAAAAATGCTCAACGTAAGATACATTGTGGATGATGGAGTTTGATTCTGAAAAGCCACATGGTTTTTAACGAGTCTTTCAGCTTTACTGTGCGCTCCTGTGGTGCACACTCGCTCTGTTGGGCCTCTCCCAGCGAAAAAAAAAAGAGCTACTAAGAAATCTAGAACAGCAGTGTCTGTAATTTGCAGGCAATTCTGTCTATTAATGGCAAGGTCTCCAAAGAAACCGTTCGTTTTGGCTGTATCAAATCTGAATAACCCCATCGCAGCGTTCCTTTTTGTGACAAACAAGCGAAAATTTTTCTTCCCGTTCTGTTGTTAAAACCAGAGTTTTCTGCAGATGAGGCAGGAGGGTTTGGTTCCGTGGGGATGGGGACCTTCCAAGCCACATTGGGACGGCTGCAAGATCTCCGAGACTCGCTCGGCAGGGCGAGGATTCAAGCAAACGACACCAAAGGCTGCTTGGCAGGCACAGTGACGTAGGAGAGCAGGTCATCTCTGGTGGAGAAGGAGCTCTTCCAATGGGTTTGAAGATAATTAAGAGGCTGTTATCAGCGGAGGTTTTATCAGCAGTGGGGTTTTCTCCAATTTGAGCCAGTGCTGGTCAACCTGAGCTATCTATTCTGCTGTGGTTCTCCATGCAGACAGAGAGAACGGGTCCGGAACATGGTTTTACTTCCGTGTCGGAGCATATGGAGCCGTGCAGCATGGACATGAAATGAGCTTGATTTCAAGTATGGGCCTGTGCCAGCGCTCAACTAGAAATGCTGACATCACCCAAGGCATCAATCCTGCCTGATACTGCCCCAAAAAAGAAACTATCCTGTGGCTCCCAGCCATATCATTTCCATGTCCACCATTTAAAATAGCTTTTTTTTAATGTAATGTTGGCACTTTTCGTGCTTGCCTCGAGGGTCTTTCACAACCAGAAATAAAAATTGAAATATAAATTCCACAAAACAAGAGTTTTAAAAAGAACTATGTGAGCGTAGATGTAGATTTCCAGCCATGTTGACACAGGTGCTCAGAACAACACGTGCTTTGCCTTGGCTCCACAGGAGCATCTGAGACAGGAACTTAGGAATGAGGAGAATTTGTCGTGATCACTCAGGGCAGCAAATCTTGTCAGAAATCACTATTTTCTGTTCCGTGCCTTCCCAAACCTCGTTCAGGTGAGGACACATGTCCTCCGCGCTTACGCGGACGGTTCTCCGTACTGCGGAGCTAAGAGAAGCCTTTGCCTTTTCCAGGCTGCAGCTGCTCGAGCGACAGGTGGTGGGAGGGGAGCAGGCTCAGAACAAAGACCTCCAAGAAAAGCATAAACGCCGGAAAAAATACGCAGATGAGCGGAGGACGCAGCTGGCGGCCGCGCTGCAGCAATCCAACGAGGACAGCAGCGACTGGGTTCTGCTTAACGTCTACGACTCCATCCAGGAGGAGGTTCGAGCCAAGAGCAAACTTCTGGAGAAGATGCAGAAGAAGGTGAGCAGCTCCCTCTTATCCCTGCTGAGAATTTAGAGATCATCTCTTTCCTTCTCTGCGTGCCCCTTTTTTTAGGTTCAGGAGGTGTTTTAGGGCAGTGTGCTTAGAGCATGACCCTGTCGGTGCCAAATATTTTATCTGTGTGCCTGCATTAGCACCGATCAGGCTTTTTCCTTGAATTTTTACGAAATATGGGATGCAGCAGCCCTCAGGGTGGTGAATTAAGCTGTTGAAACCCAAACCAGCACCTGTTTTAGAGGCTGGTTGCCCTGCCACACACTGGCTGGAGGGTGATGTCTGGTGATGGCAGAGGATGTGACTCACTCTACTGACCTGCGCAATCTATTGCACCGCGTCCTCCAGTTCCCATATCCCACTTGGGTTCCGCAAGGAAATCAGCCCTGGAAAAGTTTTCTGAGGAAAAAAAAAAAAAAATATATATAAAAGCAATGCTGTTAAATTTTAGGCACACTTGAAAATCAGTTTTGCTCTGAGATGAGACAGAATCAGGAGCTTCAAAAAAACCCATAATCTGTGTCCTAAACCCGCCCACTTTATTTCTGTATTTAGGTTATTAAGGAATAATAACCTAATGAGGTTATTATTTTTATTTACCTAAATAATAAGGTTATTATTTTCCACCTTTGTCATCCAAGCTCGGAACTCTGGAGAGTTCGTTAGCACTGGTCGCAGACCACACTCGTTGGATTAATTTATGGTCATTCAAAGACCGACACTCTGGAGAAACACAAGAAATCTTTAATCGAAACAGAATCATCTCTCCACACAGATCTCATCCTAATTTTTAATTCCAAATCCTCTCAAACGCTGAAGCTTTTGTGTCTTTCCATCCTTCATCCTTCTTCCTTTCATCCTTTCCTGACAAATCCCTGTACTCCCAGTAACCGTCGGTCTCTCTCCGTTATAATCCCAAAGACGTAACTTGGTTTTCCGTCCCAGCTGCGGGCTGCCGAGACCGAGATCAAAGATCTGCAGTCGGAGTTCGAGCTGGAAAAGATCGATTACCTCAGCACCATCCGCCGGCTGGAGCGAGACCTGCTGCTCTTCCAGCAGCTGCTGGATCCGGGGGAGGCCCCCC